TTATAGTCGAATTTCGACTACCGGGTGACCACTACTTTGTATAAAGGAACTCTCAATAATGATTCAATACTATTAATCGTAACTAAGAGTCTGAAATATTGAAAAGCGAATGTTTTCTGTGAAGGTTAGACAACTCGCTGGCGCTTATGTCTCGGTCCGCAACCTTGCCCCAGCTGTAGGCGGCGTCACCCCGCGCGACGGAATGCGATCCCGCACATACAGAGTGCAGTAACACTCCATTATTACTTTATATTACTGTTGGCCGGGCCTTGCGGGGCGCTTTGTACGGCGACTCTTTATTGGATGGTAAGTGACACGAGCGTGCGGCCCAATAGCTCTGCTTGCCGCGTGCGGAAAAAGACGCAATTAAACTTAAAGGACAATTCAATATGACGCCTTTACGGGTCGTAGAGGCGGTCAAATATATGATCCTCGCGATTATTTCAATTATTTCGCGTCAAGTAACTATCAAATGTCAATGTCAAAATTACACTAGTAGTAGTTCCATTTTTCCAATTGGAAAGGCGAAAGGCCACATCATACAGCCTAATCTTTTGTATATTCTGTTTTATGAAGAATTTTGTGGAACGAAAAGGACTTTTTGGTGGGAATGCGAGGAGTGAAGTTGTGTGATTTATTTTATTATGTCTATTTAGCCTTTCTTCAGGTTTAAATGTGTAAAAACGGTGGTTTATTAACTGTTTAATATCTGTAAAAGTGCACTAATGTGGGAAGACGAAACAAAGCCGCTGGACGTAGCTTCTCGGGATCCTCCAAAAAGTTCACTGAAAAAATCTCAGTAAATCACCACCATTTTACTAAGATTATATTTCATCCCATATCATCTCACCTCATTTCATTTAATTTCATCCCAATTGATTAATGTCTCAAATTAGTCATCTTCATTTCATTTCATATTATAATTTTTCATAAAATTATGAATATAAATTAAAATAAGACATGACCTAAAGGTCTTAGTTAGGTACCAGATCATAAAATCCTTTAAAGAAATGTGGAACGAAATGAAATGAAGTTGATTTTAATTAGAGACTATAATCAATTGAAATGATATAAAGTCTTATTAGTAAATGGTGGTTGTTTACTCAGATTTTTCGGAAGATCCCGTGAAACAACGCCATGTGGCTTTGTTTTGTTTTCCGAAAATTTTGCACGTTCACAGTTGATAAAATAAGCCAATAAACCTGAAGGAACATGAAATTGACAAAACAAAACAACCCACACCACTTCGTCGCGTCAGTTCGCAGTTCGAAGAATGAGACAGTGTCGTCAATTTAAAAAAATGCTTCGCTCTTTGGAGTATCTTAATATAATTGAATTCAGAATTATCACGTCATTAACCCAGAAGACCAACAGGGAAGGGAATATGTTGTTTGTTTGGTAAAAAACGAGTTGTGTTAAGCTTTCGAGGCTAAACCAACATATGGCGATCTACTGTCTCTGACGGTCAGCCAATGTCACGGGCACAATCGACATTCTACAAGCCTCATTCAAACAAGGTCGTGTGATGGCGCTCAGGAAACAGCCTGGATGGAAGCTTATTCCAGAGTCTGATGCGATGTGTGGGAAAAATTATCAATGACATCGTCCTACCCAGACGTACGTAAAATGAAGATCCGAGATTATTTCAAATAATACTACACAGTCAATATTACTGTATCAGGAAAAGTTTTCTAACTAAACCTAATCAAATTTAAGTTACTCCATGTTAACTTTATGTTAAATTATTTCATTAAACTACCGTTAAGACTCATGCTTTATTTTTCATAGCTGTACATTTAGGACAGCGGCTCTCAACCTTTTTAACCCAACGACGCCTTTAAATACTTTTTACAAGTTCGCGACATTCCTACATACTTGCGTACTAAATTTTGGTAAGTTAAACTGAAGGTAATGGTTTAACGGACTTTAACGGTAGGCAGCGGCTTGGCTCTGCTCCTGGCATTACTGAAGTCCATGGGCGACGGTAATCACTTACCATCAGATGGGCCGTATGCTCGTCTGCCTACAAGGGCAATAAAAAAAGGTAAGCCAGTTTAGGTACATTTATTAAAGTATATATCAATCCATCTATTAATCATAGTTAACATGTAGTGAACAGTTGTATCCTAGAGATGCAATTCCTCAGATCACCCTAGATAAAAATATCGTATTTATTAAATCTCTCTACAGGGGCGACGAAGCATCGTGTCGCGACACTGCGGTTGAGAGCCGCTGGTTTAGCGCGCGATTTAATCTTGGCGACAACAGAGCAATCGCGGGCCAATTAGCCGGCGGAGTAGCCGCCAGTGTTAAGTGTTGCCACTCCGCGTCGCTGACGAACAACGGGGCCAGTTGAAAAGGCAGGAAAAAAAAACGAGAAAGAGTTATCGCGCCCGCCGCGAGACCGCGCCACTGCGACAAATAAACCCAATAGAAGCTATGGCTGGGCCAACACGGTTTGTTTGTGTATCGAGTTTAGATTACGGTTCATTCAAATTCAAATTCAAATTCAAAATCATTTATTTCAACTTAGATGTCAGTATAACACACTTGTTGAATGTCAAAATATAAATAACATTGTTAACTCTACCACCGGTTCCCAAAAAAACCACAGCCCTGAGAAGAACCGGCGAAACGAACGCAGCGGGCTTTTTTTTTGTTTTTGTTTTTTCTCAAACATTTACTTTTTTTTTTTAAATAAGTAAAAATATTTACAATAAACGAAAAAAAAAGTAAAAAAATACAATTAAAAAAATAAAAATGAAAAATGAAAAGGCCAGGAGCGAAGGCCTCATTCCCACGTAGTGCCATCTAGTAAATAATCCTTAACTTTATAATATGCCTTGTTGCACAAACGTTCCTTGACAGTTTTCTTAAATCTATGAACAGGTAGTAATTGAACACATTGACAAACGGGTCATTAAGCAAGCCTCAATTTGATGTGGCGCGTGCACTTTCGAAGCTTACTACAATAGATATTTTATTATATCATCGGTAAGCAGCCGTTCATGAGCGATGGTAGCCATTCACCATCAGGTGGGCCGTCCGCCTAAATGGCTAAGAAAATAAAATAAACTATATCGCCCTAATTCGCCTTAGACTCGTACGCGTATACTTTGTACCTTTATGATCTACTTGCGGCCCGCTCCGGCTCCGCTCGGGTCTTTAACAAAAATTTCAACGATATATGACGTTGATTTATTTTTTTAAATTAAAGAACACTTATTGCGGCATAACTATAATAGTTAGACATATGCTGTCGCGACACTTTTTGTAAATAATAATGTGTTCTACAAAGTCGTAGTACATTATTCTATTCTATCATAAATAGTTTTCGCAGGGCACGCGATGTAAAGAATATTTTAGGTAATTTTTTTACATCTTGGTTTACATTATTGAAGTTTTAGTAACGATCCTGAACGACCTGTGTCGCTCGGGAATAGTGTAGCATCCAAACAGTGAAAGAATTTTTCAAATCGGTTCAGTAGTTTCACGTTTCAGTAGTCTGACTACACGGGCAATAAAAATAAAAACAATTGCTAACAAACAATGCGAGAGAGATACAGACACAAGCTATCTTTGCGAGTGTCAGAATAAAATATCACAACGTTTTGCAATTGTTTCGAAGGTTAAATAAGATCTGAGTGACAGACAGACAAAATCAGCGGTTTTAATTCGTTCGATTGATCACTTCCATAAATAATATGTGAGTTAAGTAATTTTAGTAACGACTAGCTGTACCCGTCCGCGTCGCTGGGCATTTAAAATTAACATTATTATTTCTCATCCCCACAAAGATTCTCATCATTAACGCCCCCGCAACTGGTGTAGAGAGTCCAACGCTCATATAAATATTAGCCTATCCATTAAGTACATGTATTTTCTACATGGATACCAAGTTTCAAGTCAATCGGATGCATGGTTCAGTAGTTATAACGGAACATCCGTAAAAACGACTGTAGATTTATATATTAGTATAGAGACCTATAGACAAACTCTCGGATGTGTTATTTGACTTAAAATGTTTTGAGGAACGTAAATCTAAGTGTTATAACGCGCGTACCTACCTACCTATTTATTAGATTTACGATAATATGATAGTAGTATTTTAATGTTTTGACGATGGGCTAGTGCGTGTTATAGGGCCGCTTGGAGAGATCCTACAGCCCTGCGCGCTGATAGCACCAACTTAGCATTCGGTAGGTATTTAAATAGTTCAAGATAGTCGTTTGAGCGTAGACCTAACTTTTTAAAATATATCCGATGTATATTACCTTAGAACAGTATCAAGACTAATTTCGAAAAAAAAATTATTTTTTATTTTTTATTGCTTAGATGGGTGGACGAGCTCACAGCCCACCTGATGTTAAGTGGTTACAACGTAAATGCGCCACCACCTTGAGATATAAGTTCTAAGGTCTCAGTATAGTTACAACGGCTGCCCCACCCTTCAAACCGAAACGCATTACTGCTTCACGACAGAAATAGGCAGGGCGGTGGTACCTACGCGCGCGGACTCACAAGAGGTCCTACCACCAGTAAGTATATTTAAGCAACTAGCTTTTGTCCGCGACTCCGTCCGCGTGGAATAGTTACTTTGGCATAACGCTAAATATTACCCCCCACTTCATTTACGTAGAAAGTGATAATATTTTTAAATTATAGAATGTTAAGGAGCTATTTAAGCCCCTATTTTGAAATATTCTTTATTGGTGCTCCACTTGTATTGGTCTTATCGTGATGTTATATAGCCTATAGCCTTCCTCAATAAATGGGCTATCTAACATTGAAAGAATTTTTCAAATCGGACCAGTTGTTCCTGAGATTAGCGCGTTTAAGAAAACAAACTCTTCAGCTTTATAATATTAGTATAGATATATATATTACCTTAGAAGTTAGAACAGTATCTATAATATCCAACATTTTAGTAAAAATCAATTGTGATAATTCATTTGAGCATTTAAGATTTTTGCAGTGAATTAATTATTAATAGCACAAACCTGGTGATCCGTCGGGCATATCGGCGTAGTGGTGCGGCGCGCTGGACGGCTGCCCCGCGTATAGTAGGTTCAACTCCCGGGCTTCGTTCTCCTCTTGGGCTTGCTGGCGACGCAGAGCAACCTTCGGACAAATGATCTTCCTGGTATTTTACGTGCAAGGCAGGCTCCCTATACTTATTTTTATATTTTACTAACTGACCCGGCAGACTTCGTAGTGCCTCAATCGATAAATAAAAGACCTAAACTTTTGTATAAAATAAACTTAAAACAAACAAAAGGAATCCGTCCGACGGGGGACACATTAAAGGGAAAACAAAATTGTTATTTTTATTTAATTCCGAGCATTTTCATATTTATCTACCTTTTAAACCTTCTCTGGACTTCCTCAAATAATTCAAGACCAAAATTAGCCAAATCGGTCCAGCCGTTATCGAGTTTTAGCGAGACTAACGAACAGCAATTCATTTATATATATATATATATATATATAGATGTCGCATTCTGCCGCGGCCGATCACCAAGCCGTTGGTGTGATCAAATAGCCGCCCTAACTGGTCTACCGGTAGCAACCGCCCTTCGAGAAGCCGAGGACCGGACGAGATGGAAACAGCTCACGAGAGGCCACGGTCAAGTTTCAGGGACACGACCTTCAGTAATGAAGAAAGCGACGAAGAAGATTGGTGATAAGGTGTGAGTCCACACGGATAGCTACTACCACACCAGCTATTTCTGCTATGAAGCCGCAATGTTTTTCGGCTTAAAGAGCGGGGCAGCCGTTGTACCGTAAAACTGTGACCTTAGAACTCATGTCTCGTGTTGGGTGACGGCATTTTCGTTGGATATGTCTACGGGCTTCGGTAACCACTCAACAAAAGGTGGATCGTGAGCATGGCAGGCTACACACAGAGTAATTATTCCTTGCGCCAAAACGAGAATGACCTACTGGCCTGAAGAAACTATTGGTTTCACGTAACATGAGCTGACGGTGGTCGACCGTGCTCCCTCGGGACTATAAACCCCCAAAATGGCCATTGATACATTGCGTGCAAAATGCTTAACGCATTTTAGAATAGATTTTTAGTTGCGATATCTTTGTTGGGATATTCATTTGGAATGTATATCTTTAGGGTTGGCGATTGATATTAGTATTGTAATAGCGGTCTACTATTTCAGTTCAGTACAGTGTTATCGATAACACGTCCCGCACACACACAATTCGTAGGGCAGAAGTCTTGAAGTCGTCGTGGCCTAAGGGATAAGACGTCCGGTGCATTCGTGTTGAGCGATGCACCGGTGTTCGAATCCCAGGCGGGTACCAATTTTTCTAATGAAATACGTACTCAACAATTGTTCACGATTGACTTCCACGGTGAAGGAATAACCTCGTGTAATAAAAATCAAACCCGCAAAATTATAATTAATGAGTCCGCGCGGGTAGGTACCACCACCCCGTCTATTTCTGCCGTAAAGCAGCAATGCGTTTTGGTTTGAAGGGTGGGGCAGCCGTTGTAACTATACTGAGACCTTGGAACTCATATCTCAAGGTGGGTGGCGGATTTACGTTGTAGATGTCTATGGGCTCTAGCAACCACTAAACCCCAGGACTGTGAGCTCGTCCATCCATTTAAGCAATAAACAAAATAAAAGCACAATAAGACCAGTTATCTGGCGCTACAGGTTAGCTTAGGTAGGTATATGAAGTACACACATTTGTTAGAGCACGTTGCATCCTCACCTGTGCGGCCATGACGCGCTGTCGCTCGGCTATAAGTGTGCACTTGGCGCACACGCAGTCGCGCCACCGGCAGTACCGCTTGTGCCCCTTCAGTGCAGAGACCACGCCGTGGTTCCGGCACCGAGCGCACTTCGGGGTCCGCTAGCAAACCAAACATATCGTGGTTATTAATTTGGTGCAACGGTGGGGGTGGTAGGTACTGCTATGTGTTAGGTTTGTTGTAAAATAATTAAATTTGTTAATGCTAAGACAATTTTCGGAGCAATTACAGTAGTGGGGACGTGATATAATAAAAAAGGCGGTAGTCTGAAAAAACGGGACAGAAATCAGTGTATAGGGTAGTGAGCAGATGTCTAAAGATTGTAAAAGTTTAGTTAGAAATAAAGTAATACAGAATTGAGTAAACTACTGCAATCTGTGTATTATTTCCTGACTGTTGGAAGTGGAGTTCTACATATGCTACGCGTTGCTGTTGCGACACGATCCATCATCATCGACTTTTAACAATATCGATCCTTGAAAGGCAAACGTGACTAAGCGACAATAACTGCTTTGTACATAAATGATAGGCAATAACCATATTCGATTCGCAAAAAAAATATATTATAATATTTCTAGGTCTATTACAATCATTTCAATCCTACAGCTAGATTCGTTAAAATAGATTTTGTGTTCAGGTATTTCAACTTTAAATTAGTCTACTGTAAAGTTCACGCATTGTCGCTTAGTCACGTTTGCCTTCCAAGCGTCGATATTCTTATTTATACAGCTTATTAGCTAACAGCTATTAGCTTAGTTAACATCACGTGAAAAACTAAAACCAAATTGCGAGTTCGCTAGTTTTCTCCATATTCAGTTATGAAGCGGAGACCTGGATACTCAAGAAGGCCGTCAGAGACCGAATAGACGCCTTTGAAATTTGGAGCTGGAGAAAAATCGGAGAGGACGAGCTCACAGCCCACCTCGTGTTAAGTGGTTACTGGAGCCCATAGACATCTACAACGTAAATGCGCCACCCACCTTGAGATATAAGTTCTAAGGTCTCAAAATTGTCACAACGGCTACCACATCCTTCAAACCGAAACGCATTACTGCTTCACGGCAGAAATAGGCCCCACCACCAGTAAAAATCATTGCTTTGCGCAGTTGTTATGTACCTCACCAGCAATCGCCACTTCTCCCGGTCTGTGGAGAGCCTGGTAGACTCATGCAAATAACCGCCAACTTCCGACTTGACTTTAATTGATACGTATTAAAGATTTTGTTAATTTTGAATTTCTCTGAAATTCTAATTATCGAAAATCCACAGTGGTTATACTAAAATTATCCTTCGGAAACCTAATTCGCTAATGCGCACTCCAAGTTTCCTTCCTTATTTCGCGGCACCTATAATTATACATTTCCTAGATCCGCTACTTGTATTATTACTGTCCCCTGTAACTATACGTTAGACTATAATTATAATATCACCAACAAATCATAAATTTTAAATCAGACTTAACACGTAACAACGACGTAGCGATGGCCGGGGCGTTAACAAATAACATGCTATTTAAGCATTTAACAATAGCAGCCATTAACATAAATAGCAGTTATTGTAACAGAGTTGCGTTTTTCTGAACGGAAATGTTATTTGATATTCTTTATTTTTTAGCGACCCGCTCTCGCTTCGCTTCGGAAACATTAAATTTTATTATCGATAGCCGAGTCCCGCGATGTCACCCGCGGTTATTGTCGTACCGCGGGTGACGCCGCGAGGCGAATCTAGTCTAAAAAAAGTAGCCTAAGTTACTTCTGATATCATCAGCAACCTGTCAGTGAAAGTCCCGTCAAAATCGGTCAAGCCGTTCCGGAGATTAGCCGGAACAAACAGACAGACAGACAAAAATTGTAAAAAATGTTATTTCGGTGTATGTACCGTATATTCATATGTATGCAGTAAAAAGCGGTTATTTTAATATTACAAAAAGACAGTCCCATTTTATTTATATGTATAGATTTCACAAACTCACAGGAGTTTTGTTGCACTTTCATAACAACCTATGGATAGGGTGGGGTGTGAGATCACGTGTAGTATAACACGTACCTACCAAATATGTGTATTTTTTTTCCTACCTATGCTGATAGCCTTGAGAGGCTATTTCAGCGTAACCTTAACTAGTAGGTGAGCTCACAGGGCTCAAGCCGAAGTGTTGCTAACACTGACCCTAGCAAGAGCAGTGCTTCGCAGAATCTACCACCGGATCGGAAACGCGATCCACTGAGAAGATCCGGCGAGAAACTCAGTGGGCTGTGTCTATGGGTTAATTCGCTCGTCGAGCCCTTCGTCGCGAGCGATGGGTTCGATGAGGACGGTGACCGGCGCTTGTGGTACCTAAAAGCCCCGTTAATGGATCGGGAGGATCCGTAATGACGTGTTTTGGGCGACGCCGACTGTTTACCATTCGGTCTGCAGGATCGGGTATGTAATTTACTTGTATAACATTTGGATGATGAAAGGGAATAGCTGGTTCTGTCAACGCTTTAAAATTGTATCCATCGATCGTGTTCTCGATCGTCGAGAATCTCACACAAAGACTACCAGGACGGATGTCTTGAGGCGATTAAAGCTATCACTGGAGAGTGGACAGTTCTCCGAAGCAGCTATGATTTTAAATTTGAGACCATTGAGACTACAAGCGCACGTCTCAAAGTAACGGCAGTCATATTCTATGAGTTCTAAAAAAAACTATCGAATTTTTTTTGAAACAGCAACAAGCGCGATGATCTGAGACTGTCCCGGGCAACAGAGGAAATAGTAAATACTACAGATCTGTGCGCGTGCACGGATAGACACACCCGACCTGCCTATGTCCGCCTCTTAATCCGTGAAAACTGTGTACCTATATGAATAGACTAACTTTTGCCCGCGGCTCCGTCCGCGTGGAATAGTTACTTTGGCATAACGCTAAATATTACCCCCCACTTCATTTAGGTAGAAAGAAAATATTTTTGAATTATAGAACGCTAAGGAGCTGTTTAATTGAACCCCGATATTGAAACATTCTTTATTGGTGCTCTTATCTTAGCGTGATGTTATATAGCCTATATTGCCAATAAATGGGCTATCTAACACTGAAAGAATTTTTCAAATTGAACCAGTACTTCCTGAGATTAGCGCGTTCAAGCAAACAAACTCTTCAGCTTTATAAAAATAAAAATAATAAATAATATGATAATATGAATAGATAGCCGATCCCGATTCAGAATTCGACCTCAAGTTTCAATATGAGTGGCGGTGACAGTCTCTATGAGTCCGCAACTGTTCTCAACCGCAGCGACACTTCTCTACACCTCCATCATAAATAGAAACATTCTAAATCAAAACTAAAGTAGGTAGTTCTTATGACTTCAAATACAATTATATTTAAGCTCTATGACTCAAATATTTGGAATTTACTTATCTTCCGATGCTCAATACTTTTAAGTAAGGTACCTACGCAGTACCTGCCGTAGTACTGAAAGTCACGCCTTTTATTAATAAATCCATGAACAGAGTCTTTAAATAGATCTAAATCCATAGACCAAGTGGCAGTCATTGATACCTATTATTGATCAACCTTCGAACGTACATCTTCGCTTTGAAGACTAATCTAATTCAGAAGACTTAAACCTACATTCGTCTTATTGCCTGATCGTGTAGTTCACAGGCATGTAGTTTAGTTTTTATTTTATCAAAACATTGTCAGCCATAGCTATAGATATGTAGGTACTTAGTGTCTTATATTAACACGCACTTAGATCGGTTTATGCCTATGTCTGTTTGTATGTAACGTATCTAATCTTTGAACGCCATTTTCATCGGCTTCAAGACGACAGATCAACTTGACAATTAGGACCGGCACTTTTATAACTTCACTCTATTATCCTGATCAGTATCAACAGAATGAAAAAGTTACAATTAATTATTATTTCGATTTGCTATTTATGTGTCGATACTCGATGTATCAGGTATTAATATTAAAATTGCCTCACCTGATATCTTTCGGACGCTCTCAGGAAGAAGGGCGGCAGGGCGGCGAGCACGGGATGCTGCACCAACTGAGACACGTCTACACCGTTCGGAAGTGACATTTCCATTATAATTAAAGTCAATAACTTGAGATCTTCTAATAAATAAATTACAAATCTCAAAACTTGTAACTATGAACCGAAAAAAGCAATTCAAGCGTCGACATTATTAAACTGCTTATTTTGAAGAGCGGATGATTATTGAAATGCTATTTTTTTGAATTTCGAATGTAATGTCGTTTCGCGCGGCCTCGCTCGCTCGCTACAGTCGTGTCGCGGCGACGACGCACGCCCGAGCTGTAACCAACACTGTTGCTTCATCGCCACAGTTGTGGAACAGTTGCGGCGGCGGGGCAGACAGGGACGGCGCGAGAACACGACACACTGTGTCACACTTGCGCCTCGTGCCGTCCCGCTCGCACTATACTGTTAACTGTATATGTTGTATCGGCAGGTTATATAAAATGTTGTAAAATGCGAGCGTCGAGAGCGCCAATGGCGCGGCCGCCCGTCCCCGCCTCCGCCCGCCATTGGCCCGTTCCGATGCTGAAACTTAATTTATAAAGGTGACTTTTTTGAGAAGCTCTCTTTGTGCGAACAAAAGCTATATTGAATGAAGCACAAAAACACAATTATGTTTTGTTGTAAGCGTTTGTGGATTCGTTTTCAATACGAAAGTTGGGTTTTTGTTTGTATTGTGCGATGATTGTACCATAATGAGATCGAGTCGATACAGCTCTGCCCACGTCGCGTCGCCGTTGTCCTCTTGTGGCGCAGGCGACATATTTGAATACGCTCGTTCTGTGTGTTGTGTGCTCACGTCCTTATTAGTTTGTTCTTGCTTGTTCGACTGATCACAATGGGTTTTACAAATTTATAATCGCGATAAGCGTACCCGAGTAAAGGAACATCTTCTGCAATTAGGTACGCTTGTTGCACATCTGTGTGCATGTCTATGAAAATCGGTTTCGCTGTTCAACGTATCAACTTGACTAAAGAAATTGGTAGTAAATAAAGTTATTTATTTTTCGTTGTTATTAAAAACGCTTTTTTGAATCAATTACATAATATGCTATTTTTTTTAATAACGTTGTAAATATTTTGGACGGCTCTTAGAGGGCGCCATCTTGATTCTAAAATTGAAATTCGAACATCGTACACAGAGAGAGGTGCGTTCGAATTGAAATATTTGAATTTACTCGTAGAACGAACCGAACTCGATTTAAATTACAATGAGAAGAAGCGGGCGCGGGACGGGAGGGGGCGTGGGACGGGATGGGGGAGGGGGGGTGTGACGTCGATAATTATTGAGACCGATAACCGAATATCGGAAATTGTTCCCGATTGTGATAGATCGGTAAAATAATTTTTTTTTTTGTTATTGCAAGATAGGTGGACGAGCTCACAGCCCACCTAATGTTAAGTGGTTACTGGAGCCCATAGACATTTACGATGTAAGTGCGCCACCCACCTTGAGATATAAGTTCTAGGGTCTCAAGTATAGTTACAACGGCTGCCCCAGCCTTCAAACCGAAACGCATTACTGCTTCACGGCAGAAATAGGCGGGGTGGTGGTACCTACCCGCGCGGACTCACAAGAGGTCCTACCACCAATAAAATGTTCTTAATGTAATGTAATGTTTTTAATTAAAAAATAAGGATCTCTGTTAGTTGGATTGTTAATTTATATTCGCGTAATCTATCCATGTATCTATGCACGTGTGTGGACATTCCCACCGGTGGGATGGGTGTGAATTTACGCAGGGGATAACTCAAGGTAGTGTGGAGTGTAAAGGAGATGGTGGGATCGTCTCGAACAGCTCCTTACACTTGTCTGATGAAGAGCTTATACTTCATCAGAAGCGAACCCTTACAGCGTTGTGATAGATACCATCACTCTGCCTATTTCTGCTCTGAAACAGTAAAGGGCGTCACACACGGCGAAGATACTATAATATTTTATCTTAACATACAATATCGCTCGCAATAAGTACATTTTGTATGAACTATCAAATTAATATTATCTTAATCATTTAGTTAATAATAAATGCGTCTTGCTTTGAAGGGCGGAGCAGCCGTAGTATAAAACTAAAACTTAGAACTAATGTCTCAAAGTAGATAATGAAATTTATGTTGTTGATGTCCACGGGCTCCGTTGACCACTTAAAAAAATACTTGGCAAAGTGACACAATACACGTGTGCAGAACTTAATAACTTTACTCAAAGCTATAGATAATACGTAAAGTTAATTTGCACAGGTGTAGAGGGGGGGTGGGGAGGGGGGCACGCGGGGCGGGAGGGGAGAGGGCCTCCTTAAATGAGAATTCCGCAGCGGAACGATCAACTCGCGAAATGTGAACATTTCGTAAACGTCTCAACTTGGGCATAGAGACCGGAGTAGCGTTGTCGATAGTAGCACCCACCCAGCCACCCAGGGACGCAGCTGGACCAGACCCAAGAGTGTCCGTGCACCGCCACTGCACTCATATTGTAATCCACTAGAATTTACGCGGCTTCGCTTCCGGTAATGATTTTTTTTTTATTGCTTAGATAGGTGGATGAGCTCACAGCCCACCTGGTGTTAAGTGGTTACTGGAGCCCATAGACATATACAACGTAAATGCGCCACCCACCTTGAGATATAAGTTCTAAGGTCTCAGTATAGTTACAACGGCTGTCCCACTCTTCAAACCGAAACGCATTACTGCTTCACGGCTGAAATAGGCAGGGCGGTGGTACCTACCTCACTCACACAAGATGTACTACCACCAGTATTCATATTTTAGGAGATCGATTCTCATGTCGTTAGTTTTAAGGAATAAGTTTAAATAAATATGTACTGTGTCTCCACATAATTAGGTGCATTATTGTAGGTATGTGTCGTTTAAATCGCCAGTAGGTACGCACATTAATCGACTCACATTAGTATGACATTACAAATGTAATTGGACAACGAAGTAGTTATAGTTCTGATGCTATCTTCGTTCACATGTATAATATTTGTTAAATTTCGTCTCTAGCGATGAATGTAATGAATTACTCTGTAATTTAAAAAAAACTAGCTTAGTTATACTTATAAGTTAGTTTTCTTAAGTATTCATTTTGACAGAGAATATTTGTTCGTAATTGCATAACAGCTTATTCGTATGTGAGACATTTTGGAGATCTGGATTTTTATATTAAAGCCAGGTTTTTTTTACCTATATTTATTCAGCTTTCTGCACTTAGGTACAATGGCGAGCTTAATGCTTGAGGCACTCTCTGCCAGTCAACCAAAGGCGGTATAGAGAGTCATTGTTAAATGAATTTCTGTCTGAAATCCAGGATGCTGACGTGTTTGCCGATAGTTGGGAATACTTTTGTCTAAAATAATGTTATTTTTATCATAATAATAAAACTTAATAATTTTTGTAATGTTTTTTGTGTTGACGAGTTAGGCGTTTTAGTGCAAACTGTTAGCTTGACTTTGTATGGAATTGTTGAATAAATAAATTTAATAAATTCTTTAAAATTATTTTTACTGGTGGTAGGACCTCTTGTGAGTCCACGCGGGTAGGTACCACCACCCTGCCTATTTCTGCCATGAAGCAGTAATGCGTTTCGGTTTGAAGGGCGGGACAGCCGTTATAACTATACTGAGACCTTAGAACTTATATCTCAAGGTGGGTGACGCATTCACGTTGTGGATGTCTATAGGCTCCAGTAACCACTTAACACCAGGTGGGCTGTGAGCTCGTCCACCCATCTAAGAAACAACAAAAAATTAAAAAAATTTAGAGTTTATTAAATTAATGAAATAAATATATTATCGACCAATTATCGACATCGACGTCCCAGCCCTAGTCGGGCCGGCGGCGGCGGCGGCGGCGTGGGAGCGCGCAGAATGTCTTCGCAAAGCGTTAAAATGAAATGTTCGCAATTTGAATATCGTTCTGTTCTGAACCAGCCCCCTCCCCCGCGCGTCCCCCGCCCACCCCCGCGCCCCCAACGACACGGACTTACAACGTAAATTGCTTAGGAAATGTTTCTAAATTATATTGAGAATATGATTTATATTATCTATATATTAATACGTGAAGCAAAAACTTTGTATCCCTTTTTACGAAAATTGCGCGGACGGAGGAGTATGAAATTTTCCACACTTATAGAGAATATAGAGAAGAAGTGCACAATGCTAATATTTTTTAAAAATAATGCAGAAAAGATACATTAAATCAATAAAGAAAACATTACACACACTACATACCATGTATTTGACGCACACACGCATGCACACTATTTATTGTCAAACTTTTGTTCTTGACGTCTGTGGTCAAATTGAGAATAGATTAAATATTGTTTGTCTTTATTAATATTTTTTTATAGTGTAGCCTTGGCGAAATTTGTGATTATAGAAGTATAAAATACAATCATAATAGTGTACAAACTTACAATTCCAATAATTATAGTCGAATTTCGACTACTGCGGGACCTCTAGTTACTTTAATTCGATAATATAAAGGATTGCAGAGATTATTTTAAACGCTACAGCGTTGTTATTATAGCGTGAGTGTGCTTCGATTGACTTACAAATCTCGTGGTTTTTTTTTGTTGCTTAGATGGACGGACGAGCTCACAGCACACCTGGTGTTAACTGGAGCCCATAGACATCTATAACGTAAATAAGCCACCCACCTTGAGATATAAGTTCCAAGGTTTCAGTATAGTTACAATGGCTGCCCCACCCTTCAAACCGAAACGCATTACTGCTTCACGGCAAAAATAGCAGGGTGGTGGTAGGTACCTACCCGTGCGGACTCACAAAAGGTCCTACCACCAGTAAATTTAGATCATGTATCTTTAAGGCGCTCGTGGACATCAGCAAAGTCATGGACACGCTTGAGTCGTCGCCTACCGCTGGACATGCTTTTTGAACCTCATTCACACCGGGACATATCATATCACCAGGACGCTTTAAGACCTTTTTTTTTTTTTATTGCCTTTGTAGGCAGACGGGCATACGGCCCACCTGATGGTGAGTGGTTACCGTCACCCATGGACTTCAGCAATGCCAGGGGCAGAGCCAAGC